TTCATCTTTATCTAATACAACTGTGGTGTTAATTTTTCCAAATCTTTGTTTATGGCGTCGTAGTTTACGCTCAAACTTGGGAGGTATTGACCCTGACAAACTGTATCGAGCCACCTTAATATCGGGGTCAGAATTTGAGGGCTACAGTGGGAGGGAAGGAAGAAAAGGAAACCGCCGCGCACACCTGTTAAGTCTTTTATAAACTTTCTCGTCCTGACGGTTTCAAAGAAGGGCGTTGTGGCTGCTATTTAATTTACAGTGTCTGTTGCAGGTTTCGAATTAATCTTACAGCAACTGGAAACGTGGCCACGCCTGCTGAAACTGAGATTGCTTGTAGGATGAACGGCTATAGTTTGGAACGTTTGCTCCCTTTAGCGGGAGGGGGGGGGGGTATATTTGTTGATATCAGGAGTTCCGGCCTGGATAGAGTCGTTGTAAAGCTATTTTTGCTTCGGAGTATCGGTTTACCGGAAGCTGAGCAAGGAAAAGTCAATGGTGCATTTATGGAATAATAATAGAGATTCTTATGGTCTAACAGTACGAAGATTAGACTTCTGGTAAGGTGGCAACGATCAAGGCCCGCATTATAATTCATGATAATTGAAGGTCATGATGTGGAAAAAGCGACTGAAATGGTGGATGCCATGCAATCCTCTCTGGTGGGGGCGGCGTACCTGGCCTTAACGGTTGCCCCTGCGACAGAAGGCAAGCATGCTCAGATTGTCCACGGGTTGCTAAATGAGACCGTCCCTTTCTTAGTATCCGTTCCCTGTCTTATAATTAGACCCGGGCAAATTTCTCGAGATTGCACCATCATTTTGGGCTTAAAGCTTCCAAAGTCTAACAATAATATAATAGCGCATGTTCGCAACGGTTTTTAAAGTCAGTCAAGTTCTTAAACCAGGCCTTAAACGGCCAGTTTTAAGTGTCGATAACAGTTAAAAAGGCATACAAGCCTCGTGCAAAAGACAATGTGAAGGAAGTGCACATCGGTGATGGGGAAAAAGGTGTAGCCCACAGTTATTAAGGGTGGATCTTTCGAAACATTCTTATACTCTTGAACAGATATGCATTGTTTAAAGTTTTAGACAAACCAGGTGTAAATTTATAGTAACAAACTGTTCAATATACATCAGCAAGATTTTTGCGAATCCTATTTTTCGCTAGAGACTATCGTTTACTGGCTGGTCACGCAATCAAAGGTAACGTACTTTCCCACGTTTGTTAACTCACCTTTCGCTCAGCATTACACTGCGTTCCACAAAGGACCCGAATTGCGCTAGAAATGTTTTGCTATTCCGCCCACTTTTTATCTCAGGTAAGGCACTGCAAAGCTGATTCACTTACGAAGATTCGAGGGAGAATTATTTCTTGATGTTATTCTGATTTCGCAGTCACGGGAAAACAGACCTAGACTCAGGTCCACTCGCAGACGCCATGGTACAATCTACAAGATCTCAAGAACAGAAATTACCCATTGAACGGCCTCTCCTTTTGAGGATTGCGTGTATTTCATTAAAACAGGTACATATTAAAAGAATCTTGTTAGTTTCTCCCTTTTAACGAGCTCAAATCGATGCATAAAACTAAGGTGACGTGCACGTGTCAACTGACCCTGGGGTCAATTAGCGGTTGTTTGGGGCAAAATAACCTCAAAATAATCAATCTATTTTACAAGCGTTCGCAAGAACACCAGACTAACTTTCAGATAATGTTGAAGTACTATATCTCATTGGGTAGTAAGCGTGATTTGGGGTGAGTTGGAGAATTCCCCCATATAGAAAATTCGATTTTGGTTTTAGCGGTAAATTGTTGTATTTATAAGCATTATGCAAATTACGTTTCAAAATTCTGCTCGTTCGTTGATATTTTATACTCTAAATCTAAAAAATATACCGTTCAGAAATTGTTAGATATCTGCTTTTTGAGATTTAAGTGGAAGGTTGCCAATATATTCGCTCGTTTATGAAAGTCAGCTTAATTCTGTCACTAGGCTATTTTCCCGAGTTCGGCGGCTAATTTTAGGCCCGCTGACCGTTGAAATCGAAAATCTCAAATAATTCCCAAACTCGGCCGCATTTTGAAATTTAAACCTCAGCAGTGTTATAAACTCATTAAAACCTTATTACAGGATGAAAATGAGGGTAAGTTAGGTTTTGAGCTGTGGCCACGATTTGCCGATTTTGCTCGATTTTTCTGTGCATTCGCTCTTAAGGCCTTTTTTTTGAGCGACAGTTTTTCACCCAGATGACAGTAGAGAGAAGAGAAGAGAAGGTTGGCAAACCTCTCTTGACCGGCTCCGCTCTCGGCGGCAATAAATTCCGTGACATATGCGACATGGAGACAATTCCGCCAGAAACAGATGTCCTGATAAATAAAGCACGTTTTCCATTATTCACATCGCCAAAATTCTCATTTCGAAGGTCCTAAATCGCCAAACGAAGTGGGCAATACACGGCTGAGGTTAGGCGAGTCGAGAGCAGACCCGCAACGGACTCCAACCCTCAAGTCGACAATTTCAAACCGACGCGGGCTGGCAGGGTCAAATTGTTCAACCGTCAAAGAACAATTGGAGCATTTAGCCTACTGGGCACAGTAACTGATTTTTCACTTCTCACATTGCACTCCGGGGTCGCGGGAAGTCAAGCATCGCGTGTGATAGTGACATGATATTACATGTCACTATCACACTAGATCTATGCTTGACTTCCGCGACCCCGGAAAAACAAGAAGACGCTAAAGGTAAGCTTCAAAGCGATATTCAATGTACATTTTGCTAATTTAGTCAGCAACGAACATTTCTCCATACAACGTCTTATAATTTTCGTGCTGTATGAATAATTAATTACCTAAGTAGGATAATGTTGGTCAGGGCTCTCATAGTGAGCTTGGGCTACCTGTGTTCTGAACAGAAATTTTCCAAAAACTGACGTTAAGTGCCCCTGTCCCTACTCAGATATCCAGGGAACAAACGTCAAAGTTAGTCTTCCAGCGATCAGTCCATCAAGAAAAATCCTGCTCACTTTTGATTTTGCAGATTCGATAATGTTTTGCTTCGTTCGTTTCATTCATTTGAATGCGCATTTTAATTCAACGATAGCACAATGTAAATAAGATATATTTCAATTCTGGGAGGGACGCTGGAGCTAGTTTGATTTTTAACCGTGACAGTCTGTATCCTTAACTTTGATATCTGGTATTCTATAAACTCGTCTAGATCTACTGTTGCAGTTGTACGTCAGCAGAGGTACAGGCTTAACAAGCTTATCTTCAAATCACCGGGCAATTGAACAGTATCGTAGCTGGCTCCTTGTAAAATCGGCGTGAAAAGCCTGCACATTGACCTTCAAAATGTCGGAAGCTTCAGCAGTGAATGGTACTTCTAACACAATGTAAGTAAAACAGATTCTTTTTATCGAAACGAGCTGTGTAAACTAGAAATCTTTATTCATTTCTACTGAAATTCCCTTCTGCTAGCTTGAATTTCATCCGACTGCTTCGAGTCCTTTTCCCCTCAGACACGTTACTGAGGGAGTAATAACGACTCGAAGTAATCGGATGAAATTCAGGCTACCGTTCTGCTTGCTTCAATTAAAACAAACGCGTGTGTGCTCACCTACAATTGGCGACAAAATTGTTGAGACATTGTACTTAAATAGGGTGACTTCGGAGAACAAAAGAATCCGCACCCCTCCCCTGTCCCCTCCATTCAAAGTTGGGGTGTTTGTTGTTTTCTATAGGTAGCTAGAACAAGGGCCCAACATTGTACGGAGGGGATGGGGGAGGAAAGCTATATTTCCTCCTTTTGAAGTTCATAAAACGTAAAAAAGCCTACTTTTGGGCGAAGTGTCTCGAAGTGTCGCCGATTGTAGCTTCATTTAAAGCCAGTAGCAGAATTTTGGATACAATATATTGAACAAGGGGCGAGATTAGGAGTAACTGAGTCAGGTCATACGATATCCAGACACCGAAAGGAGTTAAGGTTGCCACTGACCTTGAGGCCAGTATCTGCATACCGGATGAAAAACTTTTTTAAGTGTTGATATAGCCTCTCAGATAATTAAAAACTTTAAAATTAACTCATGTCATGGTGAGATCAACATTTTTTGGTAACAAAGCTAAGCTGAAATTTAAACTAAGTTGTATTCTCGGTCGTCTTTTCGTATCACGTGATGTAGGGTAATCCGGATTCCGGAATCAGATAAATTTTTGCTTGTGAAATCTGGAATCCTGGGCTTCGGAATCTGGCATTCAGTTCAAGGAATCTGGGATCGCGCTAACAATTGGAATCCGGAATTCAAGATCCACTGACATGGAATCGGGAATCCACAGCGTGGAAATCAGAATCTAAGACTGTCTTAGATTACCTTGGGAAACTGCCCATCTACCCCTCCCCTAAGCCAACATTAACACTTACTTCTCATTTAGGGCAAAATGTTGGCTTAGGGGAGGGGTAGGTGGGCAGTTTCCCCAAAAAACGTATAATGATCCATGGGGCGATTTCGTATACTTGGAACTCTAAACAACCCAATGTTTCCAAATACGGCAGAAGTGTCTATCGTTTTCTCTTTGCTTTAGAAGCGTGTTTGGTTTACTTGGAGAGGTACTAAAAACTATTTACATCTGCTCGGCTGTCTAAGGCGAACTTTGGTCGTCTCGAAAGTTAGGTGCAACTTTCGTCTCATCCAAAACGCCTTTATGAGTCCAGTCGAAAGATGGGGGACATGGAGTAGCCTTACTTTCGCGAGAAAATTCTAGGGGAAGCTTGATGGTTATAAAAAAATAAGCCAGGTATTTAAGCCAATCATGAACGGAGTATTATTTTAAAGGAATAATAATGCATTAATTTTATGGGACTTTAAAATCACCTGAGAGTGTAGAGGTGTGTAAGTTAATTTACATGTATACTTTAGATAATAAATTGATTAAATTGAAGGCTTGAGCAAACGTTGCTCGTTTTATTAAAAAAAAAACAGATTCAAACACTGAAAAAAGGTACCTTATTCCTCTCCAGGTGCAAACCAACCATTGATCCAACGACGTTCGAACTGGGATGTCTCGGCCCAGCTGTGAGTAATGGCTCGATATTTTCCTTCTGCGTTTGGTTTTACTTAACATTAGCAATAACGGTTAAAATTTTATTGTTTACATGTATCTGAGTACCCAAGTATAGCTTTTAGCATTACCTCAAGATTCCCTTTGTTTTCCTCAGCAGCTTGCCATTATTGTGGTTCTGTCATGTCTCAAACGAAGAAGCAAATTGAAACTTGAACACTGTCATGGTTATCCCGGGCTCTTGGTGTAAGTATTACCTTCTTTACAGTTGTATTCTCTGCACAGTTAGTATATGACATATATTGTAAAATATTTTCTTTTTTTCTTTTTTTGTTTTCAGACCAGTCAACTTTTTACGCAGTTTTAGCTACAGCAACAGGTTTACCATTGCTGCTACGTTTGGAGCCACGGCCAATTCTTGCCTAGGCCTTTTTTTTTCTCTCACTCCTGTCGCATTTGCCTTCCCGAGTGTTCCTGGTTGGTTGAATGGTGAGAAAATGGTATTATCCATTTATAATATTTCCTACTTTAAAACATGCTTATCCCGATCGATGTAAAGTTCCCGTCTTCATAATTAACATTTGCCTTTTCCTCGGCACTTTCTTTATGCAAAAGGATGTTCATTCTCACAAATATTCCTTAGACAGTGGTTGTCATCCATAGAGTGGTGTTTTTGCTATTCTTGCCATGTCTTTATGCGGTAATTCGGATTTTTCGTCTTCGCATAACTTGCCAAACCCTCCGCTATTTTCTCCAGCTCTGAACTGCCAAAGCGGCTGTGCGACGGCGCCGCCGTCTGTCTCTTTTTCTGTCAATAACTAAAATTGAAGTCACTTCTATTGATTTCGGCAAACATCTTCCAAATTTGGTCAATGCTAGTTGGTTATGAAGAATCAACCGGGAGGTTAAACTAGAAGCCAATCAGAAACGGCGAAATAGTTTGAATGAATAATAGTACTGATCATTAAAAGTAACTGTCAACTACAACCTCGGACAAAACGTGTTGAGAAACATCACAAAAAATAACCATTTTTTTTTCAGTCATCCTGGCAAAAAATAGAAACGGTCACCAAATAAATGCCCGTTTCACCCCCTCCCCTTATCCAATGTTGCTTAGGGTCACGAGAATTAAACTGTTGGCTTTTGACCAAAACTGCATTAATAGAGGGTGGGAGCTTTCATTTCCCTCCGTCGATTCAGGATATACCAATGTCATTATCCAGACTCCATTTGAGATAAGATCGGTTTTATTTTGAATTTATTTATTTTGATAATTATAATTTTGTACTTTAGGGTACGTTCATGTGAAGTTTAATTTTGCAATTTCTTTCAGTTTTCGTGAAAATATTTTCTGTTCTTGTGTATGGAATACTGTTCTACCCATTCTTTGCGTGCCTTACAACTGAATACAAGCTGGTTGGATCATCTCTTGGATTTCTTTATGCTGCTATAAGGTTAGACAATGCCTCGTGATTTAACGATAAGGTTGTAAATGAATCCTAACTGGTTATCGACTTGTGTATAATATCGGTCCTTATGACTTGCTGTAGATGCTGGAGTGTTGCGTGTCGACATACGCAATTCTTTTGAACTGCTGTTTGCTTCTTCATCATGATTTTTCGCTGCATTCAAAGTTAAAGTAAAAAAGTATATATGTTAGAAAAATTTCTCCTCGATTCAACTATTTAAATTATCCTAGAGCTGGGAAATACTCTCCGGGCGTAGACGGTTGATCAAGCCAATCCAGCTGCTCGAAAGGTTCTTTGAGAGTGTGAAAAGTTTCTCAAGGTCAATGGAAAAGGCCTGGCCATCAGTGACACTTTCAGGGTACCCTGAAAGCGCTATTTCTGGCCTCATTGGGAGTTCAAGTGGTGCTAATTTTGGCGTACATATGCCACCAAAAGATAGAACTGTCATTAGATATAGCCTTTGATGAGATCTGCAAGTTGATTAAATGAGGCTGAGTATGATATCGTGAAGAGTTTTTCAGATCGAGGAGGCCGGTGGGGCTTCGGCGGATAACCACCTTCCTAGTTCTGCATACTCTTTATATCATAGGAAATTTTAATTCAGTAATACGTGTTCTCAATTCAAAATATTTCTTAGTTCCTAACATCACAACCTTGTCGCAAACGTTCTTTAAAGCAGCATTTGCCTGTTTCCTTGGGACAGTTTCAGACCAAAAAAGCGCAGGCGATATCCGTCAAGCGATGTTTTCGTTCATTTTTAGTCAGTAATTCGGCTACTTTCGTCTTGGCATAGCTATGAATAGCCTGCGTCACAGAATTAATCTAACCCCGCCGAGATCCTTGTTGTGGACACTCAACTGACTCAACGAATCACCCGAAGTGCGTTTCCAATTTTTAACAGGCCAATCATGTCGCGTATTCAAATCCTGGTACACAGCTAGGGGACAAAAACAAGGATTTCGGCGCTGGCTCGCAGACGGGCTTAGCCAGAGGTTTAGCTTTTTAGTGTGTGGTGCAGATACATAAACTGTTTTGCCGTTTTCTTGAGTTCTACACTCATGACAATGAAGCTACCACCACCGTGCTGCTGACTTGCGTGACGTTAATGATTGTATGTTGGCAATAAAAAATCATTGATCTCAGAGTTACTGACGTCATCAATAATTTTTTATTATACGCATCTTCCAAATGACGTCATGACAAATAGGATGTCGTGCCTCTGGAGACATGTGACGTTCCAAATGGCTCTTATCTTTCTATTTTTGTTACTATTCCATCGATGTCTTGCACAAGTCATGTCACTTATGACGTAATATATCGTAACAGAAAATACTGAATGTAAGTTATTGTTTTTCGATTTTTAAGTAGATGGCGTAAAAGTGAAAAATAAAACAGCAATATCGACTGCGTGTGTAATCCTTTTGCTAAATTACGCAGCCATTAATAGTGATAAAAGGCAAAAACAAATGAATTAAAACACGCTTGTTTCTGGAGTCGAAGCCTAAGCTAACCGTAAAACCTTCGTTAACCAGCCTTTGTTAGATCAGAGTCCTGGATTTCGTTCAAGGACCTTTTCTATATTACATAATACTCCATGTTATCTTTCCACTTTTAACTTCTATTTTTGTGTGTTTTTAGGTTCTGTTTCGATCTTGGAATTTATTTTCAATGTGAGAGTTATTACAAAGTAAGAAAGTATATTGAGCCTAATACTACTTATCGCTAGTCTTTTTTCAAGTGAATTAAGAACTCGTGTTATTACGCTGGTCCCTTATGTATCATAATGGGTGGATGCATGGATGGATCGATTGTGATCGCCCGATCGTCAATACTTGACAATAACGCCTTTAGTATATACTAAAACAGTGGATAGTGTTTTTCGCGCGCTCTGATTGGCTACTCAATCAGTGAATATCCTGCACTATTCACAGATTCACCTCCAGTTCCTCCGAGCGAGCGACGCCAAACTCGCGTAGGTTGCGAGCAAAATGCTTTCCTGGTTTGCTGCCGTAACAAACTAAGAAATTTCACGACTAATCAAGCAAGCTATTTCCAAAATACATGAAGAAGGTGACGAAGTTCGGTTTGGAAGTTTTAACAGGTAAAGCTTTGTCTTTTTGACTTGAATAGTTATCGATAAAATTTTTTGTTTACAAATGCAAATTAAGCTTAAGTCTTGCGTTACTTTATTCAGTTGACTTGTTCATAAATAAGCTTAAAGCTAAATTTAATAATCTTTTTTACAGAATTATTTTAAATACAAACAGAATGCACAACTCCTTTTGAAGAAACTTCCCCGCGAGAGCTAAACAAACGCCTTCAAAAGTTTTATTTGTCGCTAAGAAAAAGCGACGACCGCTGCCGTTCGGTCATCGCGCGTCAAAATTGTAATCGTTGGCAACAGTAAATGAGTTAAAAATCATCATTTTGTGCTCAATTATCTCACTGTTTTAGAATATACTAAAACAATTATTCACCTCGCTGTCGGTGGCTAGTAGTGGGTATTTACCTCGCCGCCTCGCGGCCTCGGTAAATATCCAATACTAGCCACCTCCACTTCGGTGAATGATTGTTATTTATTTCATATATATGAGTGAATGATGAAGCGAATCATGTGTTCTGATTGGCTCCCTGGGCGGGCAAGATGGACCCAAATTTTAAAATGCGTCCGCGCGAGTACCACAAACTTGTCATGTCGAGAGGGAGCGCGAGAGAGTCGACCACTTCTTCATTTCCAGAACAAAATACATGTTGTAACAAAGTTTAAGATATTCATAACTTTTCACAAAAATCAGTTATGTGAGGGGCTCTCAAGCATTGAAAACATCGGCCTCCAACAAATAATATTATTTTCAACATGACGTGGCTGTTTAACGCAACGTCGTGCAATTGCATTTTGACAAGGATCTTCTGAAATGTATTTTTATTGTTCACTTCATTTTGGGGTGAAAGAAGGAATCTGCTTTATATTGGGTTCCTGAGCTTCCTCCCAACCATCTTGTGTTTGTTGTTCATCACTCTACGATTTGCTGTTTTGCTCATCCTGGAAGTCCGAAGAAAGTGGTTCTTGACCATAAATGGCGACCAAGAGGTTATATTAGTTTACGAGTTACTCTTTTGTATGCAAGCAAATTCTCATGCCTATTAGAATCGCTCCTCTTACAACACTAAAGGATCTTGAATTGTATAAACTTTCATATTTCATGGCCGTCAAGTAAAACTAAAATTTATTAATCTGGTGTGTTTTAAGGGACTCTTGCAGAGGGCAGTTAAAACCAGTGAGATGTGTTTGGCTGCAGAACCCGTAATAAAACATGTCAAGCAGATACTTACTCCAGGATTAAACAGGTGCGAATTAATGTGGCCCAAACCAGTACCTTTGTAGGTACACCTTCCGTCTATTGCCTAATTTCATACCGCGCGGGGACCTGGCACTACCGTACTCTCCCGGACGGCTTTTAAAATACGGATTTTTCTCGCTTAACATGTCAGCTTAAGCGAAAAAATATTTGCACCGCATGTTTGTAAAGATTTTCCAAGCTTTAGCCGACGAGGGAATGGGTAAATAAAGTAAACTTTTGAGTTGAAAGCTCAAAAGCTTTTCCAAATTCGTGCTTGTGTGGTTAGCGCGCGAAAAGCAAAACACCTTGACGTCATAACCATGTTTACATACTCTCATGCAAACACGCCTCTTGGCCAATCAGAGCGCGCGTACTATCTTAGTTATTTTATAATAGTAGTATAAAAAGCTTTGTTTCTGTGCACTGGATTCGCATGTAACTTGTGACTTTGTACCACTTAACTCCCTGCAATCTAAATTAATTTAGTATGCTGGCAACGCAGTGGTGATTCATTAATTGTACAAATTAAA